CGTACTTTTAGAGATAACACTCTCCTCATCTAAATTTCCGGGGGTTGAACTTCTACCGGGAGGTTCACTTGTTGACTTAGAATATGCTGATGACACAGTTTTATTTGGCGAAGACGCTGACAAAATGCAGAGTCTTCTGACCACTCTAAGCAACAATGCAAGCATGATCGGGATGTGATTCTCTCCCTCGAAATGCAAAATGTTGCTTCGGGATTGGGTTGCATCGACACCCGAACTAATGATAGGGAGTGAAGCAATTGAGCGTGTCGATCGCATCACTTATCTTGGAAGTCTCATCAGCCCTTGTGGTCTGATGTGTGACGAAATCTCAGCACGGATACAGAAGGCTCGATTAGCTTTTGCCAACTTGCGTCATTTATGGCGTAGGCGAGATATCCGTCTATCAAACAAAGGACGGGTTTACTGCACAACAGTTCGTTCCGTCCTACTTTATGGCAGTGAAACATAGTCGGTAAGAGTAGAGGATATTCGTAGGTTACTAGTATTTGATCATAGGTGTCTTCGAAATATTGCTCGTATATCCTGAGAACACCGAGTAAGTAATTCAATTGTTAAGAAACGGGTACTAGGTAAGGATGGCAAATCGATTGATGACGTAGTGAAACTTCATCAGTTGAGATGGCTGAGACACGTGTTACGTATGTCCAACCACCGACTGCCTTGACGTGCGATGTTCAGTGGTATAGGAGTAGATTGGAAGAAATCTAGGGGCGGCCAGACCAAAACATGGCACAAGTCCATGAAGTCATTGACAAATGGACTGAGTCGTGTCGGTAGGTGTAGACTACCTGGTTGGGGACCGCGAGATGATAGCAACCGATGGTTAGAGACCCTGAATGACATGGCTCAAAATCGTTTGCAATGGCGCAGGTGCATCCACTCTTTGTGTTCTCCCAAATTTTGATCTCCTGATTCCCCCTTGTCTCTTTTTTTTCTCTTCCCAAGTTTATTTCACTGTATTATACTCTTTAAATAACATCTCCAAACACTAATCTTTCCGATTACTGCTTATACTCTTATTACCTCTACCACTACGGGATTTGAATCGACCACTGCATCTCTGTGCTAATGTGGTGTGGCAACTCGAACTGATGTACGTACGTACTAAGTTCTACGTTGTTACTGACTGACTGAAAAGTAAAACGATTATCGTTTTCTTTGCTATGGAAGGCTAGAACGTTGTATTTTGGATTGTTATGAGACTTGTGCGAGACTTCCCCAAGGCATTTTGTGCAACACCATGACCTAAAAATAATCGTTGAATTCCTCTTAAAAGTGTTATACAGAGAAATAAATCTATTTTATCATCAGGCTAAATAGCTCAATGGTCAGCCAACCGTAATTAACAAAGAGCCTCATGTCAGTGGAAGATGCCGTACGAAATCAGCACAAGATGAGATTAACATAATGAGTAACTGAAGTGTCGAAATAATAGTAACACTAATCACTAACGGTATGATCCGACAAGACGTAGTGAAAACGTTTTGTGTTGTTGAAATTTGAAAAAGCGGAAGTTAAAGTCTGAAAGCATTTGGGTCATAGTAACCAACAGTGTTACCCATCTTCAGTCACTGATTGCGGTTATCGCGTAGATCCCATCTAGCTAGTCTAGATCTACTACGGCTACTTACTTTTTAAACTGATCCCTGGTCTTGGTTTGGCAGCCCCTTTTTCCCGTTTTGAATTATATGGTCGACAGTACGTTGTGATAGACGAGTTTTGAGTACAAGCAAAACATTTATCATCCTCAACAACAGAGTACTAGTTAGTTGACATGGATTTGAGCTACATGTTTGCGTGAAGTCTAACAAAACATATTTCCTGGCTAGTTGTATACTGCTTTTTGGAATTCATAGTTTTTGCCTGTTATGGCAAAAATATAAACTGTGCTATTCGAGATATTGTGTATTAGTCAATATGCACTGATATGAAGTGCAGAAACATATCTTTCAACCTTTCTAAATCTGGAGTATACATCAGACAATAGGAAAAACCGAAGTTCACCGAAATAGTCTTTTTTATTAGAAAAACCTTGATTTGGTGCACAGAAAATATTTGTCTTAAAATTCCAAATATAACAATACATATTTAAATACATAACTTAGCAGTTTAATTACTTGAGTTGGTACTATTAATTTAGGGGTGTAGGACGTATTTTGAGCTAGCAGTATTGACGTTATGCATAAGCTACTAGGCAAATCGGTTGATGAGTTTATGAATCCTTATTAATCAAAGCAGCCAATACATGTGTTACGTATGTTTAGTAACCTCTTACTTCGACGAGCATTGCTTGCTAGTGTAGGAGTAAGTTGTAGGAAAGCTAGAGACGACATAGAATCAGTTCATGAAGTCCCTAACTGTTTATCTGAATCATGTAAATAAATGAAAACTGGCTGGGGCCCGCGTGATTAGTAGTTGAGGTCCTTGATTAACATAATGTAAAATCGTTAATAATGGCCCTAATGCATACACTTATTATCTTCTTTCAGATTTGAATGCCATCATTGCTTCATACATCTCTTTACACTCCCCTTGTTTCAATCCTTAGCCATTTTCACTATCATCACTACTACATTGTTCCTGTCTCACTTGATATTCTTGTCAGTTTCATCTCATCGCCCTATTGCAGTATGATACTTAAGGTCAGTTTAAACAAATGCCAGATTCTATGTTGATGATAACTCATTGGCTACAAATCGTGTTTCACTCACACCGATTATCGCTAATCCTCATACAAGTGTTGGATGCATGGAAATTTACTTAATTATCAAGGTATATTAACATTGTTGCAAGTTATCATCTTGTAGTTTGTATACAACTATATAGCAACTAACAAATGGTCAAACCTCTGGGTTTTTTCGAACAGAAATTTTAAAATGGATGTAATTAATCCAAAAACACCCATATAGAAAATAAACGTTCAAATCCGCTTAGATTCAAAAAGACAATTTCAAAATAGCTAAACTTCTGAAATTAGGAAGTTAAAAATATTAATTCTATTGCGTTGTATATTCTCACTTATTCCATTTAGACTTGTATATCAGCAATCCCAGTAACCCTTAGTGCTGTTAAGCCACATACTGTTTCTTCAATGGTTCTCGAAGAAATAACATGTTTAGCAATCCGAAAGCATCCTAGTTTACCGATTCAAACAGCTGATCTGATCAACCCAGATTCCTGGTATGAAGGCAAGTTATGGGTTGTTTATTTTAATTATATTGTAATATTAAAACCTTTTTGAATAAAGACAGTAACAACTGCAAATATTCTAATAGCAAAATATATTTCACATTTAGGTTGTGCATCACCATTCCTCATCATGCATACATGTCAGACTAAAGTATCATTTCCAGTTGCTATTCATCATTTTCATATCTGCTTTCGATTCTCAAAGTTGTGTGTTCCTTGGCCTTCTTTTTTTCGTATTCCTTCAGAGTTTCAAGTTAGCGTTTGCCTCGTGGTACAGTTTCATGATTTTCGTAATGCATGTCCTATCTACCTCGAACGTGTTTCTCTAACTTCTTCTTCAGGTTGAAGCCGGCTTATTCTCTCTCATAGTAGGCTGTTACTGATGGTATCCGGTCAATGGATATTGAGTATCGTGCGCAGAAAACTGTTTATAAGTACTTGCACCTTTTGGCGATAGTTGTAGTAATCTACGTTTCAGCTTCGTACAGTAAAACTGTCTTGACGTTCATATTGAAGATCCTGACTTTGAAATTAGCTGACAGATAGTTGTTTTGAGTTCCATATGTTCTTCAACTGTAGGAATGCGGCCCTTGCATTTACGTCTGCATCGGGTCCGCCTTGTTTATCGATGATTTTCATGTACGTATACTTTTACTCCTCTTCTAGAGCTTCTCCATCAAGTGTGGTTGTGTTCGCTGTGTCGTATCTCAAGATTTGGCCTTTTCCTTTGTGTATGTTGAGGACTACTGCTCCACTGGCTGTCTTCACTTACATTTGTTGTTGTGTATGTGATAGAAGTCCAAATCGTCTAGTTGCATCCAAGCTGCCCACTATATTTTGTGCTTCCCCTGATATATATATAGTCAATTCCTAGCGGTATATAAGAATACATCCAAATTCAGATGCATTGTTTACATGTTGATTTATTTCTTAACAGTTCAAGAGACATCTTCAACAACAGCCCAAGAAGTTGCTACATCGGATGCCTTGATTGCTGTTGGGACCGGTACTAATGCATCAGTTCGTTTATATGAGCTGGGTGCTCGTCAGAAAGGTTGTGTTGCTCAGTGTACATTACCGAGTGCCAGTGGATCGGTCGAAGCATGTGCTTTTCCTGAAGATATACCGATACCGTTTTCAAAAGAAATTCAATTCATCGATGTACCTAGAAGTTGTGTTTCTAGCTTTATGGACTATGGAATTTTTGCCGGTAACCAGCAAGGAGAACTTGCCTCATGGGATATACGTCAAACAAAACAACCGTTATGGCAGTTAACTCGTAAGTTGATATTTAAGAAAGTTACCAACCTTTTTGAAATTGAGTTACGTCAAAAAAAACCTAAGTAGGATAATAATAATTGCCAATAATATTTAATCCTAAAAATTTCATAATGCTGTGCCATTGAATATTTGTTTAATTCTTTGAAATAGATGAAAAAGGTGCTGTTCAACAAATACGTGTATGTAGGCGACCTAATTGTCAATATCTATTGCTTGTTGTTAGCCGAAATGACGGACGAACTCTTGTTTATCCGTATGATCCAGCAACAGCACATGGTGATGCACAAATCCCTACTAGTCTGGAGCTTACTGGAGTGAATTGTGAACCTGTATGTGGTCTTTCAATGGTTTATAAACCATCAGGAGAAATCGGTGTTTGGAATGCAGCTCGCGGTGGAACTGTTAATCATTACACCAAACTTTTAGATGAGATAACGTTTAAAAACTTATAAGTGATCACAGATGTCAAATGCGTGAAAATCGGATTCTTGTTTTGTCAACACGGTAAATTTTATCCTTGCATTGAAAACCACGATATTATATTTATCATATGCGTACAAATTGTTCTGAAAACAAACCAGTGATTTTTTTTTAAAAATATCTTGTTATAAAATCACTCAAAAAGAATAAATTAACGACGATCAGTTTTCCCAGTCCCTCGTTTGCCTGAAAACAGATGTTTTGGCTTTAGTGTTGGAATATGACGATCTCCTTCTCCCTTCCGTGCTGATGTTACCACCTTACGTTGAGCAATTTTGGACATGTGTTTAACGGTATCATGCATTTTTTCATCACGTAAACCAGATCTAGATCGCGACACAGACGCACGTGCAATTGAAGCCTCACGGTGCAGATTTGGTGCTGAGTTCCGTGCTCTAGCAGCTCTCTTTAGTGAACGACCACGTTCGCCCTAAAAATTATCAAGAAGAACAAATACTTAAGGTTATTTTGTCGACTAAACGTACGAAATGTGAAAAAGCTATTCAATATAAGCAACAAGTCCTCTATCTGTGGAAAATTCCGACCAGATTGTTGAGAAAGTATGTGATTTAAACAGCTAAAATCCCTTCGAAAATTTATATAACTATACTTCTAAGAGTTGATTGAAAGAGAGAAATAAAGAAACGCTGACTTACTTGTTCATGCATATCCACTTCTAAACCAAGCTCACCCAGCTCCTGATGTATTTTATGTACACTGACTGAACGGGCACTTCGAGGTACTTGAGGTCTACGTACTTGCTTACGAGCTCGTGATTCCAAAACACGCAATGCTCGTGCTTCTCTTATCCTATAATAGAGACGATTACATGCACTTAAGCCAGATATAACACAACAAAGCTTACGAAGAAAAAAATTGATCACAAAGAAGATAATTCATTCTAGTCAAAAGGTTTACTATGGTTCATGGTGCAGTCACACCAAACATGTGACACGAATAGGCTAACGCATAGACAGAAAGTAGGACAAAAAATCTGAATTAATCTCACTTTTAAGCGTTGATGCATTTGAATGGTATATTTTTAAATTTCATGCTGCTGGGTTTAGTAGCTTATCACTTTATTACTATTAAAATACTGATCATGAAGATATAACAGTTTGACAGGTCAACAATATCAACATACAAAAAAATCAAGCTTCTTCTCTTTCAAATCTAGCTGAAGTTACTAACGGTTACATATATAGTTTCAATAGAATATGTAAAATGTCTTACCTCGCTGCGGTTTCTTTGATTTTTTTCATTTCTGGGTCATTTTCCTGCTTCAGTAGTTCAGATTCATCGTAAAACCCTGCATTTTCGAAAGCAGCCTCTTGTTCTTCCAGAGCATTCAGTTTCTCCTCAATTTCAGGATCGAATAGGTCGATCAAGTTATGTCCATTCAAAATCTCAGGGATTATATCATTTGCCTCTTCAGGACATTTTATACGCCAATGCTCTCTTAAATTTAATATGAAGCCTTCATCAGGATCAGCTCCTGGTTCACGATCACGCAATGTTCGACAACGTTTCGATGAGTCTTCATCTTCGTCTTCAAGTTGCGAGCTAGGTTGGAGTGAATTAGCAATACGAAGACGTTTTAGCATACGTCTCCTTTGTTTATCTAGAACACCGTCGGGGATTATCGGTGGACGAGATGGTGCGTCTGTCTATATTAAAATAAATTTGTAAGAAAATTGCATCGATCAGGGTGAATGTAGAAAAAAAATGTCATCGGACAGTTATAACTAGGACTGTGTGAAAAATATTAACATTTAAATAACAGCTCTTGATATTTATTTTATTTGAACACAAATATTGGTACAAGAGGGCACCAAATATATGCGCTACACAAAACAACGAGAATAGGAAGAGTAAAAAAAATAAGGTAAGGAGCGTAAAAGAAAAAAAAGAACATTTACGACCATAGATTAGTGTAAGGTAGTGTACTACTACTACTAACAATAATAATAATAATGGGGGAAACGGAAAGGTACAACCAGAAGAACTCTTTTAGTTAAAGAAGATACAACCACTTTTTATGAAGAAAGTAAAAGGTTACAGCAGGATCGCCACTAGCTTCTATTCTGAGCCACATCTGATAACGTCTCTAGCCACCGTGTCGCACCCAGTCAAGGAGTCGCGAAGGACCAACAGGAGCCAGCCCTTTGCAGCTTTATTTCATGCCTCGACACCATGTCATACACTGACTACCTCTCCGCTTTTTCCAACCAGTCCCAGCGTCGGCAAATAATGCACGACGTGGAATTCTCTGGGACGACATTCGTAAAACATGTTCAGGCCACCGAAGTCGGTGTTTCAAGATGGTGACACTAATTGCATTATCGTCTCTGTGCCCGAACACACGATGCCGAACCTCTGCATTACTAACATAGTGTTGCCATTAGATGTCAGCAATCCTTCGGAGACAACGATGATCAAGCACACAGAGTCATCTAACATCCTCAACTCAGAGAGACCAGGTTTCACAAGCACAGAGCAGAACTGCTCTCACCGACGCGTTGTAGATTCGACCTTTTACAGCCAGACTGACATCACGAAGGTACCAAAAATGTCCCATATTGGCTCTGGCTTTCACTATACGTGCACTGACATCACCACTTACGCCACCACCAGCACTTGTGCAGCTATCTAGATACACGAACTTCTATCTGCTCACCATCCAGGGCGAGTACAGGATTAGAATACTGCCGATCTTGTAGAAGTACTTTGCACTTCGAAGGTGCAAAGCACATACCGTATCTACGGACATTGATTGCTAACTGATTAAGTGCGGATTGCATGGCTTTAGGATTATCGCACATACTTAAGATTGAGAAGTCATCGATGGCAAAGAGGAATGGTGAAATTGGGCAACCCTGTCTAACCCCACTGCTTGAGTAGAACAATGAAGAAAGGTGGTTGTATGCTCTCACTCTACCTGAGGTGTTTTTATATAGGGCCTTTAGGATGTTTATAAACTTCTCGGACACACCCTTCTTCAATAGACAATCCCAGAGAACAGTCCTGTCCAACGAATCAAAGGCAGCCCTAATGTCAAGAAACACTACGATTGTTGACCTGTGATAATTATGACGGTGTTCTTACATTTGGCGGAGGGTGAAGATATGATCAATACATCCTCGACCAGAACGAAACCCAGCCTGCTCCTCGCGAGTCAATCTTTCTTGGGTTTTGAACAACCTACGAAGTATGACGGAAGGCAATATCTTGGACGCAATCGGAAGTAGACTTATCCCCCGATAGTTGTTACAGGAACGACGTGAACCCTTTTTAAAGATAGGGACAACTATCGACTCAATTCATGACGTTGGTACGTTTTCTAGTCCCCAGATCTTTGTAAACAACGTTGTCAGTCCTTAGCAAGAAAGTCACCACCATCTCTAAAAAGAGTTGGAGGCAAGTCATCTGGGCCCAGTGACTTGTAGCGCTTCAAGAGTTGGAGTTCTTTGCGGGCTTCCGCCTCATTTGGTGGATCAGTCGTCACCGGGAATGAAGGGCAGGACAGTCCGACCGATGTTGCCGGAGCAGCAGACCAGTTGACCTGCCCTTCGAAGAATTCTGCCCATTGTCCAAGACGTCGATGGATGTTAGTGATTGGCATCCCGTCATCCTCGCAGACTGTTTCGCTCACACCAGACTTCTTGCTGCTAGTGGCTTGGATGAATTGGAAGAGCTTCCGGTAGTTACCGGATGCAACTGATGCTTTCAGCTCATTAGCACGCCCCGACCACCAGGCTTCTCGGTCCTTACGCAAGCTTTGCTCGATTTCATTACGTAACAGCCTTCGTTTGTGGCGATATGTTTGAGATTGATTAACTCAACTCAATTACCATGTACGGATTTGTGTACTTTGCTTTCAGTAAGTATAAAGGTTAACGATACTGCCCGATTGGTCAAAACCAAGTGGGATGTGGTTTGAAATTGTGACTGTGGTCGGAAGTTGAACACCCTAACGACTGAGCTACTGCGTGAGATTAGCATTGCCTAAGCTGTGACTCGCCGGAGTCTTAAAGGTCGTGAAACTTAATGACTTCAGATGTTGTCGGATATGGCTCATTATCAATATCTGTGACGATAGTGAGGCAGTTGAGTGAAGTCAATCTTGAGGTTTTATTTTGTCAAGTTGCACAAATTATGATACAACACGGTAAATAAGTCCAGGTTTGTATACGGATTTTTGAGATATACTTTTGTAAGAAGGCTAATGATTTTACTTGGACGTCAAAATCACACAAGATGGAATTGAATCCCAACACATAGATGCGGTATATTCTGTGAACTGGGACAGTGATGTTTTATCAAGTGACAAGTGTTAGATGTAGAAGCATATAAAACCACAAAAACAGCATGTAATATAACTATTCACCTGCAAAAAAAGTATGACATTACCTTGTTTCCGTCTGGTTTCGGTTTAGCTATATACAATCGATTAGAGATATCAACATTACTGCCTGGCAGAGCGGCAGCTCGAATTTTTGCTTGTACACGTTGAGCTAACAAGTCATCACATGCAACTGAACGAACAGTTACTAAACCAACCTCAGTAACGGTGGACATTTCTACAAAGATCGGTCGATCCGGATCTCTGATCTGTCTATCAGTATGCCACTGGACAATACCATTAATTGATTGTTTATCTTCCTCAGATAATGCTTCAAATGGTTTGATATCAACCTGGAAAGAGTGAATTGGAAGTTATTAAAGTTCTTACGATTCTTTAAAATGTTTTTAATGAATGAAACCAGTTAGTCATTAGCTTCATTTTAGAAAAATATCAATAAGCCACCATTACATGGAAACGTGTTAAGATTATTTGGAATACAAAATTATCCATTTACTAGAAAGTATGTGGTTTACTCCTAATGAAGACTGAGTTTGTGAGTGGTTCATTCAAATAAACATAATACAGAGAAACCTACCTTAAGCATCTGTTAGTACAACACTTATTTTCTATGCACTTAAATGTCATGTTCAATTTACGACTTTATTTGTATGACGAAGATTGAAAGATACTTATCTTGCCATATATAATCGAACTTTACTACTAATCACTTCTTTTTACCGAAATTCTGGGAATTTCTTCTAGAAATTGGTCACTAATAAATGTCTGGTTTATATTAATGCACGTGTATAGAGATCATTAGTTTATGGTTTACATCACGTACTGACTTTAAGCACATAACTATTAAGAACGAGGAAGCAGTGGAAAGCTGTTTATTCCCAGTATGAGACAACAACGCATGTTAATTACTCTGCAAGATTTGAAACTTTAAATCTCTCCCGTCAAGCCCTTCATTGTAAGTGGAAACACAAAAATAGATCGAGGAACATCTTTTTAATAAATGACTGCACAAACGTACATTATTGCGTTTGTACAAAAGGAAAGGTAAACAAATTAACGTGAAGTAGGACTGGAGCACTGAAACATGGATGGTGTTTTTCAGAAAGCGAAATCTGCGTGCCCTAACGTGGAAATCAATTGAAGTAGTGATTGTGAATACTGCTAGATTGAGAAAAATATCGACAAGAACATCGAAGATGAGAGAGGTTTTAAATTCGGCAACATCACTTTCGAGATGAATAAATCTATCATTGTTATTTCAAAAGAAGATTGATGAGATGATTAAAAACTAAGATATAAGTTCTGTGTTTTGGTTAGGAACAAATACCTCGTCAATTTAATACAGCTTCCAAGCAAAAGTTACTGTACCAAATGAGGGTATAGAACTGACCGATGAAGCAAGACAAAGTTAAGTAGTCAGAAATTCCAACCAGTTTATTTTATTGACCTAAAGTTCATCATGAGTATGATGGGGCATGTAAGCTAAATAATATTCCATGCAGAAACGTCAACATAATAGTAGGTAACGGATTCAAATTGAACACCAGTTGTAACATTAAATAAAAAGATTCGCGACCATTAAGGTTATAATTTTGAATCGTAACCTATAATTGGTATCGATGGCAAGGTTCAGCGGAAGTGATAGCAATAATGCATTGGAATATTAAAGAATCACTATCCAAACGTTGTTATTTGGTATCTGTTAGAGTTGCTTGCTTTTTTCTTTTTTATTCAACGTTGTCATTGATGTCGAAGGAAATACCTAGTATTTGTCTGATTGTCTATGGATTCATTTTGTTATCGTGACAATGAGCTGAAATGCCAGATGCTCCTTCATATGTAGTTTTGTCTGGTGAAGACAGTGAGAAAGGACGAAACTGATTCGATGTATAACGGTATGTTGTAGAAGTGTTGACGAGGTAGCCACTGTTTTGGTTAGGAAAAAACCTAATCAAATTTGATATAGCTTCGATGCAAAAGTTACTGTACCATAAATGAGTACAGAACTGATCTTCGAAGCAAAACATAGTTAGGTGGTTGACAAGATTGGAGATTTCTATTGTCGAACCACCATCTATCTGGATTGTCACGTCGCTTACTTCTCAGTCAATCAGGTCAAATCTACTTGGGTTACGCAACTAACGTAGTTATGTGTACTGGAGACAGTGACACAGAACTGGACCCACTTACCGACATACACCATCTGTCGTTAGCAAAGTTTTTGTGGACACCGAAGGGCGAATATGCTGCACAATTGTTCGTTTTGTATTAAGTCAAGGGTGTGAAAAATCAAGATATAGTTGTAAACATTCAGTTAGTTTTCTGAAGGTTTGTTTGGACGCGGAGTTACTGCTAAGTAAAAAAATACTGCTGTTAAGAGTACATTTATAGGTTACACTGATAAATTAGTTCATACGGTTTTAGAGCTTTATTAGTTAAGGTTTTTGGGGCATGTGTTACCTATGTTCAGTAATTAACCCCTTTGGTGAGGATAAGTTAGGATAACATAATACAACAGGTGACTATGATAGAATTTTCAAAGACTCTGCATAAACATAAGTAAACTTTGTTTTCCAGTCTTGAGCATAGCCAAAAAGAGTGCGGAGATACTAAAAAATAAGTGAGAAAAGTATGGACAAATATAGAAGTAAAATTTTTGGACCGAACCCAGTTATATTTATAAACGAAATTTCAAACAGAATAACCTGATCATAGGTTTACAAGTAAGTGATGAACGATAGCATTGTTTTGATGGTATACAGTTGGATGCTGTTGACAAGAAACTTCTGCTTATCACTTGCCCGCAATGGGATTTTTTAGCATTAGACGGGATTTAGGTTGACATATCTACTTCGGTTGAGTACAATAAAAAATACACAACAGACGAGAAAATCGTTTTGACTTTTCACATCAATATATTACATGACTTATCTGAAAATTTAGTGACCTAAGTGCAAAGTTGTAATGAATATCATCTGAACTTCTTGAACTGCAGTTCAAGTAATCTAACTTAGATCGTCATTGTTTCCATCCATCAAAGTTCTAAAAGTCAGCTGTAATTACTTGCAGTTTAAAGAATGGATAGGTTAGACTGACAGAACTTTTATGGAACTTATTTGTGGTACTCATTAGCTTCCTAACGGAAACTGCTTTAAAAACATGGGTCTGTCTGAGTCTACACGAATAACTACTATGGGTTTATTGTTAGTTTTTAACAATTCAGTAAACTGAAACCACTGTCATCTTATCCTAGGGATTGACACAAGTGAAGGATTCGAATTTATAGATAAGGATCGACAATCATTAGGATTAGGTTACAATTAATTAAGTTGCAAATGTAACAATAGTGGATTTTGATGATACAATTATATAGAGTGGTGTAACAACACATCAATTATTTGGAGGTTGCAAGCTTACTTTATTAGCGGCTATTACAAGAGGTTTGTTACGGAAAAGAGGTCTCAAGTTTTGGAACAGCGTTAATTGTTGTTGTATAGTATATCCACATTGTTCAGACAAATCCATGATATATATTACAGCAGCCTGTAGATGTGCAAGTGCTGTAATGGATAGCATCTCGATCGTGTTATGTTCGTCCAAGGGTCTATTCAATACACCAGGTGTATCAATTACTTGCCATCGTAAATTTTTATAATCCGTGTGTCCAACAAATAAAGATTTAGTTGTAAACGGAAACGGCTGAACATCTACATCAGCTCGAGTTATCTGAATGAAGAAATGAAGGTAAATATATATCACATTTCGATGTATACACATGAATTTATTTGGTAAGTACGTCAATATGAAAGAACGTCTAAATTTTTCAAACGTGTAAAAGACTGGCTAAACTAGTGTCAAGTTGAATTTTGTTCTACTGTGTCAATTCTAATATTACCGACGCAGCTGTTTAGCATTAAAATGTGCCATGTAAAGAGAATACTTGAAAGTTCTTATACTATTCGAGTTTCAAATCCTCATCTAGAGATTATTTTCCACACAAAAACTCCACTCTAGTCGTGTATGGTTACTAGAACGGTAGTTTTACATGTAATCAAAAGCCATATACATGTAAATGAAGCTTAATCGCTAGCAGAGATAACCACTTATATTAAGGGCTGGAAGTTTGACCAGCCCTAATAGGTTGGTGTTTGACGAAATCTCAGCACGGATTCAAAAAGCTCGCTTGGCTTTTGCCAACTTACGTCACCTATGACGAAGGCGAGATATCCTACTATCAATATACGGACGAGTATACTGCGCGACAGTCCGTTCTGATGGTAAATCAGTTGATTTTGGGAATCTTCATCGACTGAAATGGTTGGGCCACGTGCTACGTAGGCTTGGACACCGATTACCACGATACTCAATGCTGACTAGTCTTGGGGATCGTTTGAAGAAAGTTAGGGGCGGTCAAACCAAAACGTGGCATCAGTCATTGAAGTCACTAACTTCTAGTCTTAACCATGTTGGTAGATGCAGACTACTTGATTGGGGTCCGTGTGACTATCGTAACCTATGGTCGGGGACTCTTGGTGACATGGCTCAGAATCGATCACAATGGCGTCGGTGTATACACTCTCTGTCTTCCCTTAAACTAAGAGATTAAAATCGCTTTATATCTTTTTCTACGAACTAATTCTGTCTTCCTGTACTATATGCTTGTATGAAACCTTTCTTTTATATATTATCACCTCTGAACTAATTACTTTTATGAATCCGGTGTCCATCTTGTGCTATTGAGGTATGGCAACTTGGACCGATGCATATATGTGCCTGATCCTACGTTGTAGCTGACTGAGTGACATATTGAGGGCATCTGAAGCCACTATAACTAAAAGGATTTAAATAGATAAAACCTATAATCACCTTTGGTTTAGTAAGTAGTTTTGTCCCAGTAAATGGAACTTTTTGTGGAAATTATGAATAACAGATAATAGTATGATGAGCAGAGATTCCATATTGGTGTCAATTGATTACATTTAACCTTATATACCATAATTATAGTTTTGCAAAGCATCCAACATTATGGATAAACACTGGTTGGTATTACGCTAGTCTCGTCGTTTGTTGCTTTTTGCCACACGAAATCTATACTCTTAATATGGTGGCGATGAATTTAGTGTGAAATACCTAAAAGACAAGTCTTCATGGAATTGAAAATGTAATTATTTCTACGCAACTGGGAATGGTCGGTTACACTGTTGGTTGGTTGAATTGACTGGGAATCAAGTTATTTTCATTTGATTTCTGTCAGTGAGATATATAGACCCGGAATTATAATCATTTGGATAGATCAGTTCACTCAGGGAAATTCGACAAATTACAATTCACAAATGTATCTCTTGATTTATTGTAACTGGTCACTAAAATGTTCAGCATAACAAAATATTTTTAAAGCAATGTAACATCTACTTTTTTAAGACGATTTAGTGGATCCCCTAGCTTCTCCTCGTTCGTTTTTTTCTGAGAGCAGTTTGCTCGTTTGAAGTCAATGTGGAAGTAGTTTACATGAGTTAGCAAAGCATAAAACATGGGACCGAAATCATAGTTACATAAATACACACGCGGCTCGAAAATATATAATAATACTGGCAAAAGGGGGTACCAGACTTGCTGACTTACCTTATTTATAAAGCTCGACTTTCCAACATTCGGGAAACCACAAAGAATAATAGTGCGAGTGTCCGGATCAATGCTTGGTAACCTAGACATGTGTTGTCGTGTATCTTCCAAGAATTTCAAGTTATCTGCTTGTCTCTTGATTACTGTACACATCCTAACCTTTGATTAATTGTAATTTATTTAACTTGCCTCCCTAGAGCAGCTCGTTTGAGTGTTTTACATTGATATAAGGATTCTGCATACTTTAATATCTTCACCTGATCTCGACCAATGCTGAGAATAATACATGAAAGTAAAAGATATTACCCATCAATCAAATTCTTGGCAGTATTAAGCTGACTTAATGCAAGTTTGTAGTGATCTTTGGAATATAAAACGTTTATGAGATCTGCATAGAATGGATGTATATTCTAAACCTTATTTGGAAAAATTGCTTAGCTACCTCCACTTTAGGGAATTCTGTGAGAATTGTTTGAAGTTTATCATGGTAAAACTGCTGACACGTTTTGACTTTACGCATATAAAAATGTCTAATACGTCCAATTGCATATTGCGGATGAATCACAGTCGGAGTTTTCCTTTGAGTTTTTGACAAGACGATGTCAATAAAGTCTTTGGATGATGGTACCACCGTGATACTCTTGAAGTTGTAGCACGGCATGTCAGATATTTGTTGGTGGTGGACTGGATGTGACCTCAACAACTAACAGAAATAAACAAGAATCAGATCTGAGAGTCAAAGGAAGGAAAAGCATGTCAGTCAGCTTTTTTAAACGTTTATAATGGGTGTGTTAATTAAGAGCTCTCGTTCTCCGAGAGCAATATCATACAAAACATCCCTAAAGAATCTCGCGAGAAGTTTTTCCGCGGAAGAAACATAATTGTGCAAAGTATACCGGAAAATGCAGACCCTACTCAATCAAATTCTGACATCAGGGAATGGAAATTCATCAAACAGTCCTTGAGGCTCAAACACATACTGACTCAGCATGTGACGAGACTAGCCAAGAAGGACGGCGATCTTAGACCCCGTCTAATGAAGATAACCTTCCCATCTTCCCACATGGCGGCTGCAGTTCTGGAAGCATTTCGTGCCAACAGACGTCGATTGCCACCTGGAATCCACATGCACCCGGACAGGCCATATGAAGCCAGGACCAAGCACAAAGGCAAGTTGGAGCTGATCATTCCACTTGTGGATTGTCTAAACGATAAAAAAAAACGTGTAAAGGACAGAGCCTACCATCTCGGTAAACCTCACAGAGGTGGGCTACCTGTCCATTCATATAAGGCTCATACAGGAAAACAGGACGAAGCTCACGCGTTCCAAATTGAAAGCACAAACTGCTTATATACGAAACCCTCGACTCTACCAAACAAACTGGATGAATAACGTGAAATTTGCAACGCTAATAAAGCCCACCTGATAGGAATATCTGAAACCTGGATATGTTCTCAGTTCTCGGACCAAGAGTTACCATTACCTGGGATGACTTTGTTCCGCAACGACAGAACAACAGGAATTGAAGGCGGAGTAGCCATATACATAAGCTCTTGCTTGGAGGTGCACCAAGTTCACAACCTCGAGTTTAACAATCTTGAGGAATCCATATGGTGCTCTGTAAGATTTTCTAGTACTTCGAGGTGTCTATTCGGAGTCATTTACAGGAAGCCAACTGCCGACATCGAGTACGATATTCGTATGCTCGAAGGACTATCCCGCTCTATCCGTCTCGGTTTCACACACATCCTGATTCTACGGGACTTTAATCTCCCTAGAGTCAACTTCGCGGAACACACGTATACTGGAGGCGACAACTCAATTGAAGCTCGGTTCTTCAACCTCATCGATGAATTGGGGTTATACGAAAATGCGAGGTCGGCAACTCGTTAGAGAAACAGTCAGGCACCATCGCGCTTAGACTGTGTGTTCACAAACGAAGAATTCCTAGTTGTCAACCTCTCAATCCTGTCTCCCCTGGTAAAAAGGGATCATGCCGTCATAGCCTTCAGTTTTGTCGGCAAAACTAAGCTAAGACATCCAACCAATAACTTGCGTTGGAATTTTAAACGGTTGAATGTGCCAGCTCTACACGACTATTTACAACAGGTGGTTTGGGATGTTCACCCCCAACTCGATGTGGACGGTCACTGGAACTTCTTACTGCACACGCTCTTATGTGCTACAAACCATTCAGTTCCTCAAACGGTTCCCAAAAGCTGCAAGCCACCTACAGTAATCAAGAACCGTACCCTTCGCCTGCTAAGCCGCAAAACGCACTGTTGGGCGGAATACAAACGAACCGACAACGACGAGCGTACAGGTAATATAAACATATCAGGAACATATGCACGAAGGCTATCAGAGAAGATAGGCTACAGTACCAGACAAAGCTTTTGGACAAATTCGCCTCGAACCCTAGAGGCCTATTCCGTTATGCAGCCTCTCTTCGTCAAGCCAAAACAGGAGTTTCTCAACTGCTAGGTCTTAATGGCCTGACCAACAACGATGGTGACGCCGCTAAACTTCTGGCGGCACACTACGCTCAAACATTTCAGCCGGCTGAAATCAACTTTATTGACGACAGTTTCATCTGCAATTCCACAGGGCTTTCCGAAGTGGACCTAAGCGCTGACTTTGTATTCCGGAAATTGCAGCACTTAAGACTAAATACTTCTCCTGGCCCGGATATGGTTCATTCTGCCATACTGAAGGAGGCAGCCTCAATCCTGGCAATACCGCTTAGCGTGATGTTTTCACACTCGCTAAGCCGCGGCAAACTACCGGAAAATTGGAAGTTGGCTCACATCACACCAATTTTCAAAGGGGGTCGACGCAATGAACCTTCAAGTTGTCGGCCGGTGGCTCTTCTGTCATTACCTTCAAAACTCATGGAGTCCCTGATATGCGATGGTTTAAACGACTATCTACTGTCCTTAAATTTCTTCTCACCGCAACAGCATGGTTTCAGGAAGGGTGACTCTTGTATAACCAACATTCTGACTGCGGTGGACAGATGGACAAGCATCCTCGATCACAAGGGGAAGGTTGAAATCATTTACCATGATTTCTCAAAAGCTTTTGATAAAGTTAACCACTTGTGTCTTATCAATGAGCTTAAACGACTAGGTATCAAACCACCTCTAATAGATTGGCTCACTTCATACCTAGAAAATCGACATTTTAAGGTCAGAGTTAATTTAAATCTATCTCAGGCTATGGAATGTCCTAGTGGGTTCTCCCAGGGCTCAGTATTAGGGCCTCTTCTCTTCTTGATCTACATAAATGATCTTGCTCAACAGGTAACATCAGACTTAATACTTTTTGCCGACGACGTGAAACTTTGGAGAGAGATACGCAACCAAGACGACTGACAGGCACTTCAGGAGGATCTGACTCGACTTCAAAGTTGGGCAGATGATAACGGACTTACCTTAACACTTCAAAGTGTAAAGTAGTTCATCTGCGACATGTTGCGGACTACAGTTATAACTTGGGAAACTCCTCTCTGGAAGTATCCCAGTCGAAAAAGAATTAAGAGTCCTGGTGCCCCATGATTTAAAGTCTTACGCTGTGTCAAAAATGCCTTCCGAGCAAACCTTGCACTGGTAACATTGAAGCGCATTTTTGGCCAGTTTGACGGAAGAACTTCCCATACAATCTTCAATAGTTTTATCCTTCCCCATTTAGAGTACGGAAGTATAGTACTCCCCACTCACTCTAAAAGATCAAGGTCACTTTGGAGCGTATCTAATGGCGAGCCACGAAATCAGTTCGAGGACTCAAATCTAAGCCTTACGAAGAACGCCTCCACTCACTAGACCTTTACCCATTAGAGTATAGGCGTCTTAGAGGTGATTTATTAATGGCTTATAGTATTCTTAACACTTCTGGACATCCTCTTAAACACCTACTCAAGCTTAGTTCGAATAATAACCTAAGGGGTAACACCCAGAAACTGGAAACTCAACATAGCAAGACGGGATGTAGACACAACTTCTACTCCTTAAGAGTTGTCAAAAGCTGGAATTCGCTGTCGGCCTAGCTAGTCCAAGCGACTTCTCAGGAGTCCTTCAACTTGACCTATTCTTAAGGACCAAGGACATTATGACACTATGATTTACCAATTTCGTTTCCTCTTTTATTGTTAACATACCTAGGTTCCTGCCTGGAGGATTTGGTGATCCCCTGCTACTAGACACGGAAGCCTGTTGAGCGAAAGCTTCTTTTATTCCGTCCATAACCATTTGAACCATTTGAACCATTTAAATTTCGAAATATGCTCTATGAAAAACACGTAGTAATCGTCTTAGTCTTTAGTATTAAAGATAGCAAGTCTGTCGGCCCATAATTATCCCTACAATTTATAACACTGTGGGGGTCTAACATTAGTTTGAACGTATCAACAGGAGGTGATGATAATACGTGGTGTTTTAAATAATTCGAGTAATTCACTACTCAGTAAGAAAAACGAAACTGCGAGAGTAAAACAGTTTGTTTGGAAAGGACAGGAGACTTGATCGCCTGTGTTAGTCCTGACAATGATGGTCTCACAGTTGTTCCAACTTTCTTGTGTAAGAGTCGATGGATGGATCCTCAATCACTTGCTGGGGTAATGAATTCCAATCGTTGATGATTCGATGGGAAAGTCGATAATTAGCTGGCAGATAATTTGTTCTTGGCTTGTGAACGTCTTTGGATTGTCGACGCGAATTCTCTGTTTTAAAAGATGAGAAAAATGAGGCCATATCAGGTGCAAGTTTATCACTAAGTAGTTTGAACACTGTAATCAAGACGCCTCTAGTTCTCTGATATGATTTTACATCTCAGATAATCTTTCAGAAGATCTTCAAATACAACGGGGGGGACAATAAACCAACCACACATGATGGAAGAGCTTTAATAGAAGTGAGAACTCGCGTATCTGTTCATTAGGCATCGTCGACAAACAAAGAGAATCGGATGCAGACGTAAAGGCAAGGATTGGCAAAGCAAGAGCCGCAGTCTCACAGTTGAAGAACTTATAGAATTCAAACACAACGGTCTCTCAGCCAATATCAAAGTCAGGACCTTCAATACGAACATCAGGGCAGATTTACTGTAAACAGCAGAGAACTTACACAAACACCAGAAAGGTAGAAGTGTTTGCAAAGTATTGTCTACGCAAGATACTAAATTTCTGTTAATCGGATACCATCAGCAACCACCTACTGTGGGAGAGAACAAGCCAGCTTCAACCTGAAGAGGAGGTTAGGGAAACATGGTAGAGGTAGATAGGACATGAATTACGGAAATCACCAAACTGCATCAAAAGGCAAACGCTAACTTGAAATCCTGAAACGATACGGAAAAAAGAATGACCAAGGAGCACACTACGTCGAGAATCGAAAGCAGATGTGAAAGAGAAGAATAGTAACTGGGAACAACTGGAAAAGATTACCCAGGACAGAGTTCAACGGGTGGACGTCGTTGGGCGGCCTATGGTCCTCCACGAAATCTAGCAGGGTTTAGTACGTAACTTTTACACCAGATACCGTATTTTGCAGATTAAGTGTTTGGTTTCACTGATTTTCTGAATTATAAACTAAGAAATCTAACCAGGTTGGTCGAATAAAAGGTTGTAGATATACTGTTGGACAAGAATTATTTCTAGACACGTTTTCTGTCATCTGGAATGTGCTATCAGTTGTATCA